GATGATGATGATGATGATGATGATGATGATGATGATGATGATGATGATGATGATGATGATGATGGTTGGGTCCGGTGGTTACAGTAGGTCGCAGGCAAACATCTCTCAAACAGTGATGCTTGTGCGACTGTTATAGGAGTCATGGGGCGGACAAACCCAAAGTATCCCAAAGTATGTTATTATATAAATGTTATTATTGAATCCCAAATGCTCTTTGGGACTGAATAAGTTTCCTACATGGATGGGGTCATATATATATATATATACACACCTGTCATATAACTATGCGGAGTCCCCTCAATGGTCTGGACATTTTGGTTGAAGTATGGAGGTGTGGGTCGACACATGTGAGGCTCATGTGTCATGCTTGTAAACACCAACCACCAATATGTCTGCTTCCCAAAAAATCGAAAGCGATAACGTGGCAGACTCAAGCCCCAGGAAGATGATCTCCACAAATTAATTTCTTGGTAAATAGAAACACTTCCGCAATTCTCCTCTTCTCACTTCTGGTACATTTCCCCATTTTCCAGGTGACCCAAAGCAACAGCAAGCTCCATCATCAACCTTAATGTAAACCGAACGCAAAATCTTTGCCTTCTCAGGATCTTTCTCCTGTCAGCTTACCCAAACTTCCTTCTTCACTCGCGTCAGCTTACGGGCGCCGTCCGACCCACGGAGAAAAGCACCACGCTCTGCTTCTTTTTCAGAGAGTACTCAAGGCCACACCTGAGCATTCAAGCCTTCTCAAGCTGAAAGGCCAATTTGAGCTCAAGGCTTCCAACGTCGCCCTTGCCAGCGTCAGACTTTGAAGGCTCGACGGGAAGGCCGCCTCTTCCAAGTTCTGACCTGGACAGAGGAAGTGGAGCCGCACCGATTCAAAGACATAGCTTAGACAGACTCGTTCGCCCGTCCGCCGAACGAGCAACTCGACGCGGAACATCTACGACCGGAACCATCGACATCCTCTGACTGGGTGGTAGAAAAGGAACTGAAAACCATCCTGGTAGACGACCTGAATCTCTTTTCCACACCTCATGCTCTTTGTGAATGGTCAGTTATCCGATGTGTATTGTTATACCCAGACACTCCATTGTCTGTCATATATGCCTACATTGACCCCTCAAACCACCCCAATGTAGGTAAATATACCATACATGGAGTGTCTGGGATATACTAAGTCAAACACTCCCCAATCCACCTCAGGTGAATCCCCGATCTACCTCAGATCTTCCAACCGTTGGAAGACATGGAAGACGCCTCGCCCTCCAAAGGCCATGAGACATCGCACCGCCCCACCGAGGGACGGAAGGGGCGGGTTACCTGGGAGTTTTCAAGCAATCCCCCCCCTTCAGGTGCCAAGAACACAGGAAAGCTGGAAAACCATGCCTGGCCTTCGTTGGTTTTTTCCCTGGAGTGATGGCAAATTTCTACAGTAGAAAAACATCCTGTGCTGGGATGTTCAAGCAAGTGTTCAAAGCCGAGGGTTTCTGTCCTGGTGGGAAATGCAGGACGATGTATGATTCATATGATCTAAAAACTACCAGGATAAAAATACCCAAAGCATCCGAAAACCTTTCTTGTTTCTTTCCAAATGACGAAAGCCATCGCCCAAGGTGATGCTCTGCAAGCCATCGGGCCAGACCACTCCGTGCAATCTTTGGTCGAAGTTCCTGCCCAAGGAGAAGCTCTGCAAGTTGTTTGGTAGAGTCACGGCAGTCAAGGGCTGATTGAAAGAAGACCCAAAGGACAAAGTCTGAATGCTCTTGGGCAGATTCACTTGCTCCAAGCTTTGGTCAAAGCGTTCGCCCAAGGACAAATTCTGCAGGCTGCACGGAAAAAGCACCTCTTCCAGGTTTTGATTGAAGGCTACGCCAAAGGTCAAACTCTGAAGGCTGCTGGGCCAAGCGACATCTGTGATTCGCTGATTGAAGAAGTGGGAGAACTTGAGCCTCCGCAGACCTTGAGGCCATGAGACTCCTTCCAGGCTGCGATTGAAGGAGTCTCCAAAGTTTAACTCCTCCAATCCGCTGGGCAAGGGAACTCCTCCACTGGGCTGGGAGGTTTCATCGGGAAAAAAACACACATCCACCGCCACCGCGTGGTTTTTTACATCCTCATTCACATCCTCGGCCTTTCCCCTGTGGCCCTGAGGTGCCTGATTCTGTTTTGTTCATACGGAATTCAAGGGATGCTTTTCCTTGAGAGCCTGAGAAGGTCGCGAAAAGGCTCCAGAAACACAAAAAACATGAGCAAAAAACACAATTACGTGACTCTGGGGGGGAACTGCTACACTTCAACTATACTTTTCAAGATATACCGGTATGATGAAACACCTCCGACTGACCCAGTCCTTGTAGATCCTGATTGAACAAACTGCCAAAGGTCAAGCTCTTGAGGCTTTCAGGCAAAGTCACACACACCAAACCCTGGTCCCAATCATGGCCTTACTTGAGAACCATCAAAGCGCTTCAAAGAGCCCCCCCAAACAGGAAACAGTTACTTGGATTTGCTTAAGGAACTGGGACAAATACAATAATTTATAAACTATACCATATTCCCAAGAACTTGGGAAGATCTCTGGATGTTTTAACATAATTTCCTAAGTGGATAAAGAGGCCAAAAGCTATAAACCTAGAGAATTAAATCCAATGTATGTTTCTGTAGGCAAGGCTTGTGAAAGGGAAAATGATGAGGAACCAACTTCATGAAAAAAAATGTGGATTCTACCTGGTGTCATAATGAAGGTACAGTATATGTAGGTGCCATCGAAATATATAAATCTGCTGGTGAACCATGGTGAACCTTCAAAAATGAGAACCGTCCAAGCTTTTACACGATTTAAACCTAAGGCCTAAGGCCATATAAAGGGGATTCACCCCTAGGAAAAACTAACCTCACCCCAAACCAGGGTCAACCCCGAAGTGACGATGGATCGTTGATCACTTGCTAAGAGCTCCATGGTTGGATGTGGAGGCCACGCAGTCCATGCAGCAGTCGGTCAGCTTTTGTCTCTGGAAGATCCAAACCCGTTTGGGGGCAAACATGATATGTATACTGTATATATATATAATTCGTATAACTATATATGAGTAATATGAGCCACACAAAGCTTCCTGACTTTCCTTAGCTCATCAAGTCGCCGAAGATCAACTTCTGCAAAGTCTCAGAGAATGTCAAGCGTTCCAAGCTTTTGTTGAAGCAATGGCCCAGTGTTAAGCTGGTCAAGCGAGCACGCCAGGTAAGCGAACCAGGCCTTGCAGGTTCCTCCTCAGGTTCTTGCTGCGCCTCAGAGCCTCCCTCAGGGCCCACTGCAATGGTCAAACTCACAATGTTGCTTGGAGGCCTTAGACTTTGCTGATCTTATGATGTTGCTTGGTCGAAAAAAAACAACGCTGAAGAGTTGTTGAGGCCAGGGATGTTGGGGGTGTGGGGGTGAAACACCTTGATTGTCAAAGAAAGGGCCTGCAAAGTATTGGCACAGTCTTTCCCACAGGTTGTGAAGATGTGAACAACGGAAGGCCATCATCAAGAGATATCAAGAGTATGCTTTGAGATTCGTGGCAAAGGTCCTGTTTGTGGGAGTATTTGACAAGCGATGCCTTCAACCAAAAAACACGACACCGCACAGCCTACCTGCAACACTTCCAAGAGGCAGCATGTTTCTTTGATTGAGTGCCCACGAGGCTTGTCCAAAGGTCAAAGACTGCAAGTGTCTGGGCCACGCCACGCGCTCTAAACTCTGATAGAACTGGAAGCGGTAGCCCAACGTCAGGCTAATAAGGCTACAGGGCAAATTCACCCGATCCAAGCTGTGGCTGAAGGAATGCCCCATGCTCAACGTCCTCAGGCCTTGAAGGATGACCAAAAAAAGTTATGAAAGACGTGACGGAAGCGCCTTCCTCCTTAGAAAACAAAGCGCCTTTCTCAGAGTGAGGGGCTCTACAGCATTAGCTACAGCATTAGGCTTGCTTGATTGGCTTAACATCGGCAAGAGGCTGTTGGGCAAAGTGGCATGCTCTAAACTCTGGTTGAACTCTGCACCAAACGTCAAGCTCTCAAGACTCCCCGGCCACGCAAGCCCTTCCAATCGCTGGTTAAAACTGTTCCCAAATACCAACTGCTCAAGGTTGACAGGTAAAGTGACTTTCTCCAAGCTCTGGTTGAACCAGGTTCCAAATCTCAAACTCTTGAGCTTGGGTGGAAGATTCACCTTCTCCAAGCTCTGGTTGAAGAATTCCCCAAAAGACAAGTTCTGCAAAAGACTCGGCAGCTTGACGCCTTCCAGGCTCTTATTGAATTGTTGGCCAAATGTGAGACTCTGCAGATCTCTGGGCAAAAGAACGCCTTCCAATGTCTGGTCAAAGAGAGCAGAAAAACTCAAGACTCTCAGGCTCCGAAGATCACCCCGCTCAAGCTGTCTCATGCTATGGATTCCATTCCTCAGATTGCCAACAACTGGGCTCTTGGTTCTTGATACCAATCCACCTACCATCGCTGTCTAAGTCGACCCCGGATCTAAGTCGAGCGCCTCTGGATCGGTTCGGTGTCTGATTTGGGGCGGTTCGGCTTCCAAGGTCTGCATAGATCTACCGGCACCACGGAAGAGGGTGCTTGGAAGGAACATAGAGAACAATGGGCTATAAAGCATCCTTCCGTGGTGTTGGTATATATTCCAATATATTACAATATACCTGGACCATCCAATGTGCGTCCAATGGAGATCTCTACGTCCCCAAGTAGTGTAGGGTAGTCCAGCCAGGACATCCAAACAGGATGGTCCTGGTATACATACAGAGATGATTTTGGGGCAGGATCTCTTCATGAAAACTCCTGGAAGGCGAACGAGCATCAGCTGCGTGATGCCTTCGAGGAAGCTCAGCTCTGCATCATCCTCACACAGCTCAGCTTGTTGGAGGCATCGCCAGGTATCCTGTAGATTCACAGGCCTCGGGAGATTTGTTTGTTCCCAAGGGCTTACAAGACCTCAAAAGACTTCAATCTACGCAATCTAAGTCTCCACAAAGCAAAAGGTGTGCAGAGACGGTGGGGTGGCTCCACAGCAAAAAAACGCGCCAAGCCCCTGGTAACCCCTGGTAGATCCTGGTAGCCTGGTGGCTTGACCATTGGTCGAATTGATTGAAGCTCTTCAATCCATTACTAGTTTCGCCATAACCGCCATGATCGGCGCGCGTGGGTCCGTCCCGTCCACCTGAGTGCCGGGCACGTATACATAAGTCACACACCTCACGAGACCCGTCTTATCGACACCGAACCGGTCTTCCCACCAACTCGGAGAGAATTCTGAAAAACAAGCAGGCAGTGGTTTTGAGGTTGAAGACGATGTACATAGATTGAAACTTACTTCGCATGAACAAACCGAGTGTTGATGTTTATTGTGTCACATGTCCAGTTTGCAGAAGACATGCTTTCCACATGTCCAGTTGAAACCTCAACATGGTTTGTTGAGTGTTTGTCTTGATGTGATTCGTACTTGTCTTCTCTCCTGCTTTGTGGCCCATGCATCTGAGGCTGGTCTTGTCTGAATGTTGAACCCCTGCAGGTGTCAGGCATTTTTTCGAGGAATACTGATCATCGTGTACCTGCACAAGGGTCCTCTTCTTTATATATATTCATCCAAAATAGTCATGTAATCTAGTAATCTCCCAATGATCGTTTTGACTCACAAATCCTGTCTTCAGCAAAAACCTCTTGTCCATCACCTTACTCCAGCTTCTAACCTCCAAGAAAGACTAAAAACCATCAGTTTTGTGGGAGAGGCAGCCGACGGATCTGAACCATTTGACATACAAACAAAGGAAACACTCGGCAACACTTATTGGAAGCAGTCAAGCTTCCCCTATCATGTCGACACCTTCCCTGACTCAGCTGGCCTCGTTGCGGCGCGCGCAAAGGCTTCTTCGAGGCTCAAATCGTCCAGGGCGTTTGACCCACATTTCCTTAGGCTCGACCCGACCACATCGGCCATCTTTGGCCCCCTGAAACGGAAGTGGTTCTTAATCAAGAGATGAGAAGCAAAACACCATGGATACAGCAGAAAAAAAACTGCTGCACTTGTTTTTTCATGCTTTCGGTTGACTAACACTTTTTTACCGATAAGCTCCCGAGTCGCAATGAGACTCTGGCGCCTGCTTTGCATGGCAGCTGGTCCCGGATCATCCGACGCAGTTGCCGGCCTGTGAAGGATGATGGTGCTTGGACTGCAAAGCCTTCACCATCCAAGCCCACGACCTGAAGAACTTCGATGTCAGCAGTCCGAAGGTTTTCAAAGGCCCCCGCACTTCACCACTTTTTTCAGAGCATGGTAGGCAAGGCTCAAACCTACCTAACACGCTCAAGAAAGACTCGGTCTTTCGTGGTTTGGGGACACACGCATGATTTTTTTGCGAGTGTCATACAAGAGCTGATCAAAGATGAATACCAATCAAGATCCCTAATTTCCTACTCCATCCGAATCCCCAAAATTATCCAAAATTGAGAGTTCTGCGCCGAGGCCACTCTTTTTCAGGTCAAACACGGGAGGATGATATGGGAGGCCTTTCTCTGTGGCAGGGCCAGGTCGAGGGACCTTCTGGCGTGACTCATGGCGAGAATGGTAAAAGAACCTGGGCTTCTTTCCCAACGAAAAAACCAAGCCACTTGAATGTCAAAGAGCTCCTGCTCAACTGGGCCTTCTGCACCATACATCATTCAAATGCAGGCGAATGTGCATGTTCCCACGGAGTCTTCTGATCAGGGGCCCTTCGGGGCTCTGAGGGACAAGAACACGATCCCTCCGATCGGTGGAAGCTGAGGAATACGACTCTGCGGGCTTCTTGAGATCGCTCCATGTAGTTTTTTTTATGTGAACTAACATTTACCACAAAGATCTGCAGAGCATATATATATAATAAATATACTATATAGTCAATATCTGAGATTTGCAATGTATATATATATATATATAGTTGAAAATTGTGGCAATCGTTGCCATACATGGAGTGTCTGCGATTTTGTTTGAGACACCTCTGGACTCAGCCGTGGCTTGAACCGCCAAAGGTTCTATCTGTCGTTCTCAGGTCGTGCCACAGGATTTACTGAAATTTCACTGCTGTTCTCCACCTCCAACAGCTGAGTGATTCCATCATGAATCTACGGTGGGTTGATGGTTTATATGGACCCCAATCTAAAGGACATCTTGGGGTCTGTGCCATCTACTCTGAAACCACTGTAGTTATGTACCTTCATGGTCCGACTGGTGGCCAGCAAGCATGCTGGCTGAGGGAGGTCCAATCGCGAAATGATTTGACTTCGAACGCTGTGAAATGTCAGTTGGTGTTGCCATCGGCTGCTGTAATGACAAAATGCGGAAGCGCGCACCCTTTTCACAAATGAGCTTGGGCCGCTAGGACCAGGGTTCAAGTCATGTAAAGTCTTGACACTCCACCTAAGGGCGAAGCGAATCAGCTTCAGTCCTTTTTAGACTTCGCCAGACTCTATGTATCGGCGCACATGACCTTCCCAGTCTTCTTCCCACTGGGTGGTGCAAATCATCACCGCGAAATGAGCAAAGTCTGTACGCTCTTCGCGAGACCACTGGAGAATGTGGTCGAATGCCATGTGCGGAAATCGGCTTGCATGTTCTGCTGCAAGCCTTGTGCGCAAAAACTCTTTGAAAAGTGCCTCAGGAAAAAGTCCATGAGACAGAACTTTTCGAGCACTCTCCTCCTGCCCTTCTTTCTGGTATTTCAGGAGTGTTTCCATGTCCCACCAACCAGCATCACGAGGAGGGTTTGCTTTGTCGACTTCACCTTCTCGTGCTTGGCTCACCTCGCCAGCACCATCCACTTCCATTTCCTGATAGTCCAGGTCTTCATCACTCCTCTCAGATGCCGTAGGGCGGTATTGCCTCCGAAGAACTCCATTCTCATCTTCCACAAAGAATTCCTCTCCACTCTCTGCACTTTCAGGCCCACTGAGAATCCTGTATTCCCACATCCGGCCAAGCTCCGGATTCCAATCCATGGTGGTAGGATGATGGTCACGCAGAAAACCATTTCTTGGAGCATCACTGTCTGAATCATATTCTTCTCCTTCATCCTCACCTTCTTCTGCTGCTGCAACCTCATTTGCTGCTGGGTTATCTTCTTCTTGGTTCTCACCATCTCTCAACCTCACACTCATAATTTGATCTGGTACTTCGCCTTCTGGAGGTCGTAGTGGGATTGGCCAAGTATTCCGAGGCTCAACTTGCCATTCTCCACCTGGAACACCATCCATCATATGGCGCAAGACCATGCCACGATAGGACCGATAGGCCTCGAGTGCATCTTGGTGTTCCTGCTCTCGAATGAACTCATTAGTCCTTTCTTGTCGCATGATTCGTGCAATTGTTCTCAAGAAGATGCCAACTCTGGTGCGGTACATATAGCCGCAAATCATGCCAAGGACAAACACAAACATGCTGTAGATCATGAACATCACAAAGTATGTCCAACCACCATTGGACTTGTACTGCTCCTTCTCCCGGTTGTAGTCATGATCTTCTCCACTTCCAAAGGCTCCCGGTTGTAGCAACAACAAGGTTACCAGCTTCACCATGCCATTGGGAACCTTGGAAGACATGTTCGAAGTCTCTTGCACCAGCATCTCAACCATCTCCTTTCGCACTTCCTTCATCCTTCTGGTCATCATCTTCTTTGCCATCTCCTGGTGGAAGCTCTCTTCACCCACTCTTGAGAAAATCTCATCTTGACCTTCAGCATTCAGCTCAACCACACCAATCAAATACATCAAGAATTCTCGTCGAGCTTTTGTCAATCTCTTGGTGCCAAGGTCAGCCACATTCCATAAAGTGGGGATGCCCTCCATGGAGAGTGTCTCCTTTTTGATCTCGAGTTGGACCCACAAATATCGAGTGTCGATGTGCTTCAACCGTCCAACTCCCAACCTTTCACTAAAGGCTCTGCATGAGCTGCTATCCGTGATGGCCTTGAGGATCACTGGTCGACCACTGATGAAGGTCCACAGGTCCTTGATTTGCAAACCTTCTGCACTGCCACCTGCTGCTGCCAAAAACTCGGCCTCACAGGAACTGAGGGCAATGCTCTTTTGTGATCTGGACCAGCTCGTAATGAGGCACCCATTCAAAAACATAAACGTCGAGCTGACGCTATGTCGTCGTCGCTGTGAGCTGCTCTGGTCACCAGCCCAATCACTGTCAGAAAAACTCTCCACCACATCAGAGCCACTCAAATCCTCCACCTGCTCAAGGATCTCTGCCTTTTTGCTTCGACACTTTTGGTATGGCAGAAGGAGCCCATAACCTTCAGTCCTCTTCAGGTACAGGATGGTGTGCTTCACTTCTGCTTCAGCCAATCTTGTGGGTTTAGCCATGAATTGACTGAGGTTCCTGACGCTATGCTGGATGTCAATCCTGTCTTGGCTGATGTAAAGGAGGGTGCCTAAAGCTGACCTGAATCGAAACTGATCTTCTCCTTCCAATGTGTTCTCAGGCGGTCCCTCCAAACTCACATGGGTGCTTTCAGGTGTGGCTCGTCCTCCTCGATGTTCCAACTTGTACATCTCCATCAAACTCGGGATGTACTTCTCGTGAGGCATGATGACAATGCCATTTGCAGTGAAGAAATGTCTCTTCTTCAGGCACCTGACTGGTTCATCTTCCTTCTGCTCTTCTGTTGGCAGGATACCTGACTCGCTCAAGACAAACTTGGTCCTCATTGCTGCGAGCAACCATTCAACACTGCTCATCTCACCAGCAACAATCAAATCATCTACGTGGCAAACAGCAGCTATGGGCTTCTCCTTGTGACGAAAGAGTGAGGGCAGGCTCAAATGGTGCTCAAAACCCAAGTCCTCCAGGTGGAAGCTCAAATGATCATACCACCTTGCTGCTGCATCTCTTTGACCAGGTAGACACTTGAGCAACGTCCAATACCTTCTCTCGCCTGGATGTAGGTGCTCCAATTCTTCTGGTTTCCACCACTGTGGCTTCTCCACTAACACCAACTTCACTTGATCCACCAGAAGAAATGCATCTTTCACATCAATGAACGTGAGCTTCCAATTGAGCAAGGTGTGGGCAGACAACAAAAGCCTTGTGGCGGCTAATGAAGATGTTGGTGCAAAGGTCTTGGAATTCGAACTGTCTCCTGCTCGAAATTCCCGTGCCACAAAACGGCACCTTCTCTTCCACTTTTGCTCTCGAAATCGCCAGTCGAATACTGAACGAGTGGTGAGGACTGCTCCATTGGTCAACTCATCAGCCTCAGGCTCTCGCAGCACTCCCATTTGCAGAAGACGCTGAATCTCTTCTTGCCCTGCTGCTTCCTCCACCTGCTGCAACTCTTCTTCTGACAGTTCAGGAGGATGTCCTTCATCTATCTCTTCTACATCGAGCAATGGGATTTCATCTGCTCCTCCATAGTTGTCTTCCTCAATGCATTGCTCCCATTGTTCATCATCCACTGGCAATGAAGCTGCGTTGATGTTACCTGCAAATGTTGGGGCGTAGAGGTTGCTCGGACTGCCTTCGGGACTTGATCGTGCTGCCTTGCTCCTTGGTTCTTCAACTTCTCCAACATCCTTCATTTCTTCACCAATGCGAGGAGTTTGAGGTCTCTTCACATCAGGAGTTCTTGGTACTCGCTCACCTGCATCATCCAATCCAAGAGGTAGAGGGGGTACTTTCACATACTTTTGTGGAAGGTCTCCTGCAGTGGAATCTACTTTTCTTTTCTCTCGAGGTTCTCCTCCACCTGTCTCTGGGCTCTCTAGTCCTCCACGCTCTCTTGCATACCTTTCTACATCATCTGCATCTTGATCACGAAGGAAGGGCTCTTCTTCAGGTTTGCTCTGAGCATCTTCTGGAGCTTCTTTTCGAGGTCTTCCTGGTCCTCTCACTCCTCTTGGAACCATGGGTGTCGAAGGCATAATCTTGAGAGGCGGTCTCTTTACTCCTGGGTCTCTAAAGGGCTTGTCCTTCACCAGGAACATGCATGTATGTGGGTCTCCAGGGCTCACTCGTTCTTCTTACGGCCTTGCCCCGCATGACTCCGTTCACACCAATGACAATGTGAAGGTCATCTTCATGGGTCTTTCCAACCCAAATCCCTGGCAACCACTGAGGCCCTTGCTTCATACCTGGTTGTCGATGGAGAAGAAGAACATACTCACCAAAGCAAACCACCTTTCCCATGTATCTTCGACCATAGGCCAGCTCGAAAGGTGTAGAGCTCAAAGCGCTGTGGATGCCAAACCTATTCAAGATCCAAGCCGCATGCAGGTATGACCAATACCACATGGCATGACTCCCATCCAAATGCAGCATGCACTTACTCTCAGCCATCTCCATCAATGTTGAGGCTTGCTTCCTGAGAGTTGCAATGGCTCGCTCCACTCGGCCTGCTTGGCCTTTCTTCATGCTATTGGTGATGGTGGTTTCCAGGCCAAGACTATGTCGAATGGACTTCACATAGGTCAGCAAGGCCTTCATGGTAGGTTCACTGTCTCCAATCATCTCAATGTTGCCGTAGTGGTTGAGAGCTAATGTGAACCTGACAACATGTTCAGCTTGTCCTCTGAGATCAGCACCTTTCGACTCTACAGGGACAGCTAACAGCATGCGGGTTTCAGCATCAATGCCCACCAAAATCACCACCAGCTCCTCTTGCTTCTTTTGGTCAGACCGTCCAAAAGCATAGTCCAGCTGGATGCTGGGAGCTGATCTCCTGCCTTCCTCTGAGTGGTCCAACACCCGCTGAGGATCGCTCTTTCCCTTGCAGGCCACGCAGAAGTCGCACCAATCTCGGTAAGGTACGTGCGTCAGTTCGTGAAGCTCTCGTTCTTCATTCGAAGGTTGACGGGGAGCTCGAATCGCAACCAATCCTTTGTGCTTGTTCTGCTCCTTATACAACCGATTGGCCACAATGAACATATCTCGATGTTCAATCTTTTGGATCTCCTGGTTGAGTCTCGTCCATATGCTGTGTTTTGATCCTCCTCGACCCAAACCTAGGAACTCTGCAGCTTCACGAAGATGTGCAAGGGAGCTCTTCTCACTCAACTGCTGTCCATTAACTTGCAACATCTCTTTGTTCTCGAACAGGGGCATAGGACCATCCCAAGAACCACCAACATCTGCTTGGTCCATTTCCTCGGGTTGCTGAACGTGCTGAGGATCGAGTTCTTGTGGCACCATAGGCTCACCAGCAAACTGAAAATCCTGACTATCGACATCTACTCCTCCAGCAGTCACAGTTTGCTCGCCAACAACCGTGCCAAAGAAAGCCAAAGGTTCTTTCTTCCTGTGGAGCACTGTCAACACCTGAGTTTCAATGCCTCGGCATTCTGGAATCTCACCATCGGGCTCTTCTGTGGTGTAGTACTGATTGCAATGCTCCACAATCTCCCAGGTGTCGTCGTCCTTCCTGATCAAAGTTGATCTCAAAGGCCACCAGTTCAAATTCCAGATCAACTGTCCATTCACAAAATTCTTGCTACTATAGCTGAAACGCACTGGATTACCTTCTGGGGTGGTCTTCCATGCTCTGAGGCCATAGTTCTCCCAGAATTTGCTGTGCAGCTGCAGGACGGTTTGGATCACCAGTACCTCATCATCATCATGATGTTGACCATCTCCAGGACCCCCTTCAATTTCATCTGGTTCGTGCAAAATCCTCCTGATGGAACCAAACAAGGCCAAAGAATTCTTCTTGAACCTCAAAGGAATTTGGCATTCCTGGTCAGGAGCTTGTAGGTGAACACCAGCTTCTCCATCTCCGGGAATCATCCGCCATCCCCGTTGGAGGAGTCTTCCAAGACTGATCAAAGGTGTCTGAACTGATGCCACCACGAAGTCATCCTCAATAACGACCGTTTCACGGCTTCCTTCACACTCAATTTGAGCAATCTTCTTTCCAAAAGTTCGAAGCCTTCCTCCTTGGGCATCTTCAAGAACGGCCTTTCCTCCTCCACTTGCTTTTCCACACGAGGACATACTCTTGGGCAAGAGGCTGATGTCAGCTCCTGAATCAAGAACAATGAGCATCTTCCTTTCAGTTTCTTGCACGGTACAAACGCTGAAGACTTGAACCTTCTCTTCATCTTGTGCAGGAAGTGAATACCTTCTCAATGCAATGTCCTGGAACCAGCGGTATACATTGTCTGACTGCATGACATCCTCTTCTTCCACCTCAGAGTTCTCTTCGTGGATCACAAAGGTCACTGTATTGATCTGGTTGCAGTCGTCCTCATACCACCAGTCTTCACCATCCTCACTCTTCAAATCAAACAGCACAGGGCTTTGTTCAGCTCTAGGTGTCTCGAGATGGTACATCCTCACCTGTCGAATCTGAGGCCTCGTAGCTGTTGTTGATGCTATGGATGATCCATTGCCTTGAACTTTTCCACCTGCTGAACTGGCAATCTCGCTCTCAGCATACGTCGTGCTGTTGGTGGCAGTTGTCACAGTGTTGGCTTTATTAGGGCACTCATTTCCCCAATGTCCTTGTTGGCCACAGATCCTGCACGTATTTCGATCTTGACCTCCTTTGCCTTTTCCTCCAAAAGGCTTACCTTTTCCTTTCTTGCCCTTCTTTCCTTTGCCTTTCGTCTTGCCTTTACCCTTCTGTGACTTGCCACTGGCCTTTCCACCAAAGCCATAAGGGAACCATCCCTTCTGTTTGCCTTTGCCCTTCTTGCCTCCTTTAAACTTTCCTTTACCTCCAACCATGTTGACATTGTCAACCTCCATGGGAGTAGGGCCACCCGGGTCATTCTTCAAGGAGTTCTGCGCCAACTTCAAATAAGAATCACCACTCCAAACTCGGGAGTTCTTATCCATGAGGATGAGCTTCTCTTTCAACCCCTCATAGGTGATGCTATCATCCATGGTCAACTCAAGGTGCCTCCTCAAATTGGGTTCGATGCATCGCAGCACAGTGGCCACAACCAAATCGTCTGGCATAGGATGCCCAGAAGCCACTCGATACTGGTCCAACAACAAGTCCATCTGTAAAAGACTTTCCAGCGTCGAACGATCTCGAGCAAAGTTGGGGTGGCTCATGATGGCTTGTCCAATTGCCATGACACGTGGGCGTGCACGAGGCATATACAAGTCACGAAGTTGTTGCCATACACGAAATCCATTCTTTTCACTGGACTCAGCACGCACCAACTGAAGGGCAGGACCTTTGATGTACGAAGCCAAGATGGAGTACAAGCGAGTAGCAAGCTGACGAATCTCAGCCGTGGCAAAATCTGACAGCTGACATGGTTCGTCCAGGGCTCCAACATCTCTCAAGAGCTCAGCAAATCTTGAATCCCCATACGAGAGCCAGTTCACAAACGTCTCTCTCCAGGCCACATACTTGAGGGGATCATCACCATCTAGTGAATCTGGAGCTCTCAACACTTTGCTGGCTTCTCCAAAATTTCCACCTTCTTTCCTCTGCTCCATCTTCTCCAAGGCTGAGGCTGAAGCTCGGGCTGCAGTCGTAGCGGCTTCGGTTAGCTGCATCATCTGGTTCATCATCTGAGCCGCTTGACCTGCATCCATGGATTGCGCCGTGGTCCAACAGCCAAGGAACAAAAGGCCTTTCAGCCGTAGCCTGAACTCGAAGCACTCCTTCAACTTACCATCTCTTCTTCCTCAAGCTCAAACGGCCCACTTCTTGTCGTTTCCGGCATCGGCATTGGGCAACCCGACTCCTCAGGATCGTCCAAAGAACAGCTCCTAGCAGGACGAGCAAACATAGACATAGTCCAACCTTCTTGTACTCGATGTTCTCCATCACCTCGGTCATGTCAATGTCTTTGATGAAGACCTGTCCATAGTTCACCACAGTCATAAGGACCAAGGGCATCTTCAGAGTGAAGCCTCCATTCATGACCTCAAGAGCCTCGTCATCGGTCAGGTTGAAGTCCCAGCCATAGTGCTCTTCAATGGCATAGTCAGGGTTCCAATCCCTGGCTGTCCAACACCGTTCAACTCTTTCTGGACCCTTCCAGGGTTGAACATCTTCAAAGTCGAGGGGCCAATCCACGACTTCTGCTGGGCACACCTGCCAATCCTCATGTCTGCTAGCATTCTTCGGTTCTGGCTCTTCACCAATTGGCTTCTCTACAGTCACAAGACTGGTTCCCATCCAGCTCCTGTGCCACTCATCCCTCATGGTGGTTCCAATCCACCTCATACCAAACCAAATGCCATCTCCGAGGGCCCAATCCTCGGACCAATCAGGTCCATAGTCCACGGTCACCACCTGCTCGGTCTCCATCACCTTGTACTCGAAGGACTCGGTCTCCTGCTTGTAGTCGATGTCGTCCATGCGCTCAACGCTCGGGCTAGTCATCATCAGAAAGAGCACTGCCAGCGTCCAACGGCATGGCAAACGGCCCGTCGGAGCCGGAGCTGACACTTTGGTCAGCTCCGCTACCATGACAAAATGCGGAAGCGCGCACCCTTTTCATAAATGAGCTTGGGCCGCTAGGACCAGGGTTCAAGTCATGTAAAGTCTTGACATGTAAGATGTGAGGTGGAACTGGCAAAAAATACATGTTCGTCAAGATGCAAAGTGTTCCAACCCGTAAAACTTCCATGCTACAAGCATTTCAAAGCGTATGTTCAAGTTCATCAACACCCTGGCTTCTTCGAAGTGCTCTGAGAGGATGTCGAGGTACAGTAGCTGGAATCTCCTCTCTCACCCATGCTGTTGTGGGGCCTTGCTGTGTTTCCCACGTGTTCACTCTTTGGGAGACTCCCAAACAAAAACACCCAACATCCACCAAATCGGTCCACCCTGATCCAAGAAAAACAGAACCACCCCGGGCACCCCTAAGCGTTCTGCAGGTCTGGTATACTGAGTATACTGGTCCTTTGCCGTCTGGCTGGTGTCTGGCTTCCGGAACACCCACCGGCGATTTCCCGGCCGTCCGCGCCTCCGGAGCAAAGGTGCCTCTCCGAGTCGCCGAGAGTTGCGGAGAGTCGCGGGTCGCGGCGGCACCGAGTCGGTGGGATGGTGGGACCTGTTTTCGGGTTCGACTGAATGGATTCTTTTGCTGATTTTCGGGTGAGGGCCATTGTGTGTGACATGGTGGGGGATAGATGATAAACCCTAGTACATTCCAGTTGTACCTTGTCAGGTTCGGTACGACTGATTACGACTGGACCCGACAATGGCACCGGAAAAAAAAAGGTAAAGACAACACACCACTGTACCTCAGAGGGTATGTAAATTCTTCGCAAACAGAGATGTGAGGGTGCTGATGACTGGAGCGAATCCACTCGTGGAGTGTGGGAGTATTAGGAGGTCTGTATAGGGCCAGTATAGGGTTAAGTTATGTTATATATAAACACGACCTCAGCTTATTTTCCCACGCGTTGCAGAATGTTTGTCT